CGAACAGTTATCGCTGCACAAAACAAGGTCATCACGTTGAAATTGTTGTGGCAAAATTTGACTGTTGAATAATACAATTCCGAAAAGGGTGCGAACACTTCTCGCGGGTATGTTATCGTTCCACAACACCTGCGATCACAGATATACAGTGATTCTCGATGATAATGTTCCTGGTCTTTCCGGTGGGGCATCCACACCTCTGACACTGAGTACTGCACTGTCAAAGATCACTTCAGATGTGAAGAAAATAGGACCCATATCATGCCATATATTTCTTCCCCATACCCTGTTACTTGGCGGTCATCCAGTCGTCACAAATGGTTGAACCATTCTGCAACACATAAAAATACAGTTTAAATATATATAAATGAAAACTCAGTGACAACTAAATAATGTACTAATACGTGTAAAAGAAATACGATTAGCTCTTCTTCAAGACATATTTAAACCCTACTGATCTTCATCATCAGGAAGTGAAAGACATACCAAGGCCTTCTCTCTGGCCGATTTAGGAATGTGCACTCCATTTTTCAAACGCAATATCTTTAATGTCCAACTCCACACAACACAGTCTACATGCTGCCATTGTTGTGATGTTGTATTGTCTTTCTTCCACGTCTTCTTCCATGTGTTCCAATACTGCACAGAAAAATGTTTGGCAACAGGTTGTGACACCCAATATTCAATACAAATATGATTGAAAGTTGGCGACTTCACATCGTTGTCTACATCGGAAATGACTCTACCCATCCATACGCGAACTCCTCATCGATATCATCTTGGGAAGGACGCATGAGAACGAATTGACCTTTTTCGACATCCACAACTCGGTTGAGCTCCGCCTTTGGACGCTCATTGACCGGTCCAATGAATAACAACTCTTTATTCTCATTGCTATTCAAGAGGAAGGAAATATCAATATAATCAAGATCATCCTTCTTAATTCTGTCCTGTGAGGGCCAGAAGCCAGCCTCGAGTGATGTTTTTGCAAACCCGGACCCATAATTTTCCTCGACTGCCTCAAGGAAATTTTTCCAGTGTGAAAGAGCACTCTCCTTTGAGAAGTTAACCTCATCTTTCATTCCCAACCACTCGTGCCGCTTGTTCTCCAATCACCCAACAAACGTTTTCACACCTTCAATTCCTAATTCGAAATCCGAATTCCTATCTTTAATAGGCAGAGCAGCTGACGGCGGAACATGTGATGGCTCGAATGGTCATTCGGGTCCAGCGTATGTTTTGTTTCCATCTCGTTTAAAACAATAGACTGAAGCAGACGATTCAGGAGAAGTGTAATACTCTTTCTACTCGAACAGAGGATTGTCATTCTGCATGTAAAACCTAAATGCATGTGGACGAGTATGACCGGTCAGTCTCTTGACCAGGAAGGGCTTAACATCACCTCGCCAATCAACAATTTCATCTATGAATGTGCACAACGAACGTTCTTTTTGGGAGCTGGCAACGAGCTTGAAGAGGTCGAGCATGGTATAAGCATCGTGCATTTTTAGTTTGCAAGAGAAATGACTGAAAGTAGCATCAAGGTCCGTATGTGTGTGTCCCAGTAATATAAGACCGAATTCGACTTCTTTGAAGAAGCCAAATTTCACCAAAGCTGCAACAACTGCCAAAACGTATCTGTTTTTGTTTTCTCTCAAACAGTTGTTTACTTGTATCCTCAGTTTAGGAGGCAAGTCGCTTGTCGCCTGGATGTCATGCAGAACTTTCATAATGGATGACACCACATCATTAGAATCGTGTGGATAGCAAGGGTACCATGTGTGAACATAGACTGATGGTGAACGGTCGTGTGCAATAATAGTTGTTAAATTAGTTTTCAACATCGGAATATTTGCGAATGCCTTCGATTTGTTCTCTCCGCCAAAGTATGGAATACAGGTCTTGCTTTGGTCCATGTCGTCAATGATGATGCATAAACTGTTGGAACATGGTCTCTTCGACTCATCCTTCCACACCTCATACGCAGGACGATGTCGGAGCTGCAAGTCCAAGTGTTTCTCGCGTAGCAAAATAAAGTACTCACGCATATGTACAAACTTTGCAGAATTGATAGATTCTTTGGATTCGATACATTTCTCGCATTTCGCAAAGTTTTGATCAATGTCATGGAATTTCACATGCCAGAACTGCGTTATCAACATGTTGTAGAAAACTTGGAGAGAAATACAAGGAGCACCCATGTTGTCGAATTGCGACTTTAACAACTTATAAATATCAACCTTGTTATAGCAAGCAGACAATCTCAACACCACTCTCGATTCCCCTTCTTTGATCTTCATGTCATTGGGCATGGAATCTATGGTGTCTCGCACGAAGGAGCTTAGTTTCCCGTACATCGTCACATATGTTGCTGATGTGCGTCTGAGTCCAATACTGCCATGCTCCGACATAATGTAGCCTTTTGATAAAGTCATCATTTTTTTGAGAAATGTATTTATGCATACACCTAGTGTGAAACACCAGGCACTAATGCACACCTTTCTCTTTCCCACAATAGGTTGAACAATTTCTTTCTCATCTTCTATGAACGTGAACCTCTTCAACGTTTCAACCCACCATGCATCCCTGTTTTTCTGGTCCTTAGAATAGTATGAGCTCCGGACAACTTTGATGTCTGCAAGGGTCATTTGAGCGCAACACTCTCGCTTACAACAAACTTATCCACGCATACTCGCCAGTGCTTTTTTGGTGAGTTTTCTATGAACTGATTGCAGAATCTTCTTTGACCGTGGCATTCTGACACGAAAAGTATAAGGACACTTCTCTGAGGACAGACGTTTCGAAAAAATGTGATCAAAATCAGAGATCACGTCACAATTTTCATCGTCATTTCAAGAACAGTGGTCAGTGTTCCGATCAACGTACGTTTGCGGATGACCGATTTTATCTGGAGAATTATCAGCGCTAGACGACACCGAAGCACTTGAATGTGAACCGTATTCATCACTCTCACCAAACAGAAGACCTATGCACTCGAAATCTCGAAGTGAACTCCTCGACACCCATACAACACGGTTTACATCGGATGTGTTGTTGTCAGTCGAGGAGGCCTTACCCTCCTGACCTTCCGCACTGTCTGCATCAGAGGTTCGAACCGGGCAGCGCAGGACCGGATACGCACTTTCACATGTAGTGTCCGCACACGCAATAATCCGTGACCTCTTATGAGCAGGAGATTCCGGAATATTATTGACACGTTCGTTACCACTTCGAACATCTTGTGAACACATTGGCAGGTGTGGTGGAGGAAAATCCTCATTGAGCATTGTATTAGATGCCACACAGTCCATGCTTTCCAAGGTTGTGCTGCAAGTTTGTCGCAGCATAGCATGCACACCACAAACCATGTACGAACTGTGTCTGCGACAACAAAACAGCGGACCACTGTCAAAGAAGCAAATCAGAGGTTAATGAAAGGGAACAGACAACCAGCCCTACATAAACGACAGCGAGAAACACAACCCTATAAACGACAACGAGAAACACAGCCCTACACGGGATGGAAGGGAACAGGAAACATTCGAGCGGGGATAACACACGACCTTGGAATGTGAGCATCGAGATGAATTATTTACAAGGGCACAGAGACCGGGTTCGAAGCATAATGAATTGTTGATGGGCGAGGACTCTGCAGTCCAGTCTTCGGGGCAATATGTGCCAAAGGCGAAATACACGCAAAAGAGTTTAGCAAAGTCAGAGATCGAACGAGAATGGGAAACGTAGCACATGTCAAGTTGGGCACCAGTATCGGAAAGGCGGAGATCATGACGCGCAAAACACAGCGTGCACCAGCAGTGAAAAGACGGAGATCCTGACGCGCAAAAGGAAACGTAGCACATGTCACATCGGGCACCAGTATCGGGAAGGCAGAAATCACGACGCGCAACAGTGGAAAGGCGGAGATCCTGACATGCAAAACACAGCCTGACATGAGAGCATTGATAGGAAACATTAAGAACGACACAGGTTTGCAGAACACAGAACTGATGTTGTTCCATGAAATTCAACGACGGCACACGAGGAGTTCCCATAACTCAGAGTAAGCAGGAAAACCACCGTGGCAACGTGACCGTCTCGTCCAACACGGAAAGGACCTCCTCGGATTCAAAGCAAAATTTGTGCAGAGTTCGAACACGATGTCGGTCGAGGAACTCTATTGACGGCACACAACGGGCTCCTAGAACCCCAGACTGAGCAGGCAAACGACTGTGGCAACGCTAATGTTGTGTCCAACACGAGAGGGACTCCATTTCATATTATCACAATCTTCCAATTTACAATCAATGTAATAAAAGCCAAAAGACAGTCACCCGGGTACTATGTTCTCCGGGTGCAACTCACACTGGACTGTATGCGATGCGTGCAAGTCGGAGCACTTCTCTCGAACGTGAGTGACTGTGGCCGATTGCCCACGAGCAGGAGTGCGCCCAAAGTTGGTGGTCCGACCCGACCCGTGCCGACGGGACGACGTCGACATGGAAGAGAAGGGTTGTCCGGAAGAGTGGCCACCGCAGCGATCGGCGTGGCGTCGAACAGGGCGACAATAGTTTTTCTTGCGGTCCCGGCGTCGTATCCCACAGGACTTGGGGACTGTCTGACCGTGACCGACACGAGGAGGACACGACGACGATCGGGTCCAACACGACGAGGACACAAAAATGAAGAAGACGGTCATGTTCGACGGTTGTTTCTGCCGTGGGACGTGGCACCTGTATCGGCAATGGGGTAGGTCGTATCTCCCGCGGTTGTATCGACGCTCGTTTCTTGCACGGTGCCATCGGTTGTCCGAGGTCTCGTGTTGTCGAACACGACAGTAAACAGTCCGCAGATATCACAGCTCGTGCTGAACACGGCACACACTGTGCGTTGCGCCGACAGTAGTTAGCCCGCAGCGTCCGTAATCGTGTCGAACACGAAGTAGTGTTTTCCTTTCCTGGAACCTGGGAGCCGCAGCGCCTGTGTCGTGGCGAACACGACCACGGTGCTGTCTTCAGTGGCTCCGTCGTATCGAACATGGACGTTGTGCCCTGCTCGACCCCACTTGGGGATCGCATCATCGACGACAAGTTTTTTTCCCGGAACCTGCAGCGTACGTACTAGACACGACGACGGTCGTGTTGGACACGACGACACCCGTGTTGGACTCGATGATGACCGTGTCGACGACGACCGTGTCGGATAGGACAACGATCGTGTCGGACACGGCAACGACAGTGTTTCAGACGACGGCGGTCATGCTCGACCCGACGACGATGGCGTTCCACACGACGACGATCGTGTTCGACACGATCGTCATCGTGTTCGACACGAGCGTCGTCGTGCTCAACACGATGACGACACTGTTGGACACGACGACGATCATGTCGAACACCTCGAAGATCGTGTCCAACACGATGACGATCGTGCTCGACACGATGACGATCGTGTCCGACACCTCGGCGGTCGTGCGCCACACGACTGCGGGCGTGCTCGACATGACGACAATCGTGTTCGACACGACGACGACCGTGCTCGATATGACGACCTACGCAAATAAACGGCATAAAGAACTGTTGGAGGAAATTTGTTGATATCACCAATAAACTAACACAGGACAGGGCGGGCCACATAGGCTTTTTTCTTTGTTTCGCCTAGGGGGGGGGTTGGCGCTGACAAAAGGTCGCGGCTACTCATGTGGAGGAAACGCTCTTGTGCGGCAGAGGGATGACATTGTACTCTGGCACGGAACGTCATCCCCACGCCTCCGCGTTGCCCAGGGGGGGAAAACGATCGTGGTTGACGGCGGGCCGACGGTTGAACGGCTAGGATTCACCGGGGGGAAAATAGGGCGGTCCACTGGCCACACCACCGGATCCCCGCCTGCAGCCAGTCGATCATCCCGACCGTCCGGATTCCCGGATCGGACGGCCACCAGGCGCGTCCGGAGGGCCCACCCGAAAACCTATATATATGGAGGGGGCCCACCACTTCCCATTTTCGGTTTCATTCGGTTTCAGGTGGGCAATGCAGCAACAGCGCAGCGCAACGGAGGTCCGTTAACGCAGCAACAGCGCAGCGCAGCGGAGGCTCGTGCACAACAGACTATGTGCACGGCTCGGCGATGGAGCGCAGGGATTCGTTGATGCATCGGAGGTCCGTGCATAGCAGCCCACCTGCTCGACGCGACGGCGGACCACAGCGAAGTACCGACGATCGCAGGTCACGACGACAGAGGCGAGCTGACGACCCCAAAACGTGACACGCAGCCACAGCGGAGCACCCCGAGTCCGCAGGATCAGACGGTGAGGACACAATCAGCAAGCCCAGATGCAACCACGTAACGCCACGTGGCACTTTCGGTTGATCGGGGTCGTGCGGAACACGACGACAGGAGGAGCACCGTCGAGTCGAACACGACAACGGACTGGAGCAGGAGTCGTATCGGACACGACGATCGGGCCGGTCGTCGAATCAAACTCGACGACCGAACGAATCGTTGTGCCGAAGACGGCGACTGGAGGAGCACCGCCGAGTCGAACACGACAACGGACCGGAGCAGGAGTCGTCTCGGACACGGCGATCTGGCCGGTCGTGGAATCGAACTCGACGACCGAGCGAATTGTCGTGCTGAACACGACTGTCGAGTCCGACACGATCGTCGAGTCCAACACGATCGTGCCTTGATGTTGAGTCGAATACGATTATCCGTGCCATGTCGAGTCGAACATAGTTGTCCCTTCCTCGTCGAGTCGAACACTATCACCGAGCCCAACACGATCGTGCCCTGTCGAACACGATCGATAAGTCGAATGCGAACGTCGAGTCCAGCACGATCGTCTTAGTCGACACGATCATCGAGTCCAACACGATCGTCGAGTCCGACACAATTGTCGAGTTGAGCACGATCGTCGAGTCCGACACGATCGTCGATGTCCGACACGATCGTCGAGTCCGACACAATCGTCGAGTTGAGCACGATCGTCCAGCCGAACACGATCGTCGGGTCCGACATGATCGTCGCCTCAGACACGATCGTCGTCGAGTCCGACACGATCATTGAGTCCAACACGATCGTGCCCTTTCGTCGAGTCGAACACGATCGCGCCCTGCCGACAAGTCGAACATGATCGCGCCCTGTCGTCGAGTCGAACAAGATCGTGCCCTATCGTCGAGTCGAACACGATCGCCGAGTCGAAGGCGAACGTCGAGTCCGTCACGATCGTCTAGTCCGACACGGTCGTCGAGTCCAACATGATCCCGCCCTGTCGTTGAGTCCGACATGATCGCTGTGTCCGACACGATCGTCGAGTTGGTTGAATCGTCCCGTCGAACACGATTGTCGAGTCCGACATGATCGTCGCGTCCGACATGATCGTCGTCGAGTTTGACACGATCTTCGAGTCCAACACGATCATGCCCTGTCGTGGAGTCAAACACAATCGTGCCCTGCCGTCGAGTCGAACACGATCGTGCCCTGTCATCGAGTCCAACACGATCGTGCCCTGTCGTCGAGTCGAACACGATAGTGCCCTGTCGTCGAGTCGACCACAGTCGTGGCTCATCGAGTCGAGTCGAACACGATCGTCGAGTCCGGCACGATCGTCGAGTTGAGCACGATCGTCCAACCGAACACGATCGTCGGGTCCGACATGATCGTCACATCTGACACAATCGTCGTCAAGTCCCACACGATCGTCGAGTCGAGTCGAACACGATCGTGCCCTGTCGTCGAGTCGAACACGATCGTGCCCTGTCGTCGAGTCGAACACCATCGTGCCCTGTCATCGAGTCGAACACAATCGTGCCCTGTCGTCGAGTCGAAAACGATCATCCCCTGCCCTCCAGTACAACACGATCGTGCCCTCTCATCGAGTCCAACACGATTGTCGACTGCGACACGATCGTCGAGTCCGACACGACCTTGGGTTGTTTGTATCGTGTGAGGCGTGTGCGGGGAGGTGTCGATTTTGTGTGTGCCCTGAGCTGCTTGTGTGTGTGGGTTGTGTGCATAGATTGTGTGCATGGATTGTGTGCATGGATTGTGCGCATAGATTGTGTGCAGTGCAATGTCGTGCGGTCTGGATTATTTGCATTGTTGGGGCGAGGACAATTGTTCTATGCTGTTGTTGATCGTTGCACTTATGCCGTACAGGGCGCTTTATTGTCACTATGGTGATCTCTCATTGGATGACCACAACACTTTGGCGTGCACGAAAGGCACACCCTTTCCCACCTTGCGCGCTACACGTCCGACGATGTCTGGGCAGCACAACCTTTGACGGCACTAGTCTCGAGGACTTCGAGTCCGATCCTTGGATGACAGTCGTCCCGTTTGTCGACAAACATTTGGACTCCTGGGAGGAGTATGAGTGGGAGAGCATGACGAAGAAGTGCCCGTGGGCGGGCGATTATGAGTTCGCCAATATGTTGAAATTCCGAAAACGTATTGTTGTGTCGGGCGATGTGTTGGGTCCCGTGCATTTGCGTCATTTGTGTAAGAAGTTGAAATTTAACCACCTTTTCGGTGTTTTAGATTGCGAATACGTGACAATCTCGCCGCGCACATGGTGCCGTGCTATAAAGCAGGAGTTGCTCGACTGTGCGCGACATTCACGGTTCCTCGATCAGTATCCATTGCGATCTCTAGGTCTGTCGCCTCGAGCAGTGTCATATTGTTGTGTGAGATTGCGCCTGGGATGCATCATCTTCTGTAGGGTTCTCTGCATTGCCTATTCGGACAGGCGCGCAACTTGACAGAAGTTGTCGTGTATGTGTCCAGAAACGAGTTGTCTATGTCCGGAAGGGACATGAGTTTAGTTCACAGAGAGGTCCATGGGAAACTGGATATCGTGGTCGGTGGCAAGGTGGAGGACGTCGGCGCTTGGAGTGAGGTCGAGACTAAAGTGGTTTCTATTCGGGATGCTATAGGCGGTTCTCTCATCGGAAACTCCGGGTTCGTGCGCATGACATACATTTCTGTGTTTGTTGAGAGCTGTACAGTAGACGAGCCGCAGCGGCTGACCTTCGGATCGGCACTTGGTATATTGAATGGCCGCAACAGCGGGAGAGTTCGCCATAGTCGATAGATAGCCTTCGTCGGTCCCCTTTGTCGTTCAATGTTTTCCGATGTGTGATACTTTCGCAAGTTGTCGACACTGTCGTCGTCGCTACATATTCTCATGTTTGTCCGGCGCTTCCGGCGCTGTGTTTCTCGATGTGCTGAGACCGCTGTTGGGAGTTTTTTTTTTTTTTTTTGCGTTCAACAATGACACATCGCTGCCTTTCCGTTTGTTCGGACTGCATCTTCATGGACTTCGCATTGAGCGAAAAATACAAAGTGTCTGATTGTTGTCTCATGTTGTGTTTTCTTGAGAAAAATACGCAGTATCTGCTTGTTGTTCTCATGTTATGTTTTGTCGTGAAAAATACGTAGTGTGTCATTGTTGTCCTAATCTTGTTTTTCGATATCCTGAAATCCGGGAACGACGACACATGAACGAGCAACAAACCAGTACGGAGTATCTGATTGCTCTTCTGTTTTTTTGGTTGAGCGTTCAACAATGACACATCGGTGCCTTTCCATTTGTTCGGACTGCATCTACATGGACTTGGCATTGAGCGAAAAGTACAAAGTGTCTGAATGTTGATCTCATGTTGTGTTTCCTTGCGAAAAACGTGTTGTTTTCATGTTGTAATTTCTTGCGAAAAATACCTTGTATCTGCTTTTTTTTCTCATGTTGTGGGCGTGACACACGAACGACGACACATAAACCCCCGGCCTATGAGCCGTGAGGAGCTACATTTGCGACCATCGAGACGGACACAACCAAGAGTTGAAGGGGCGGTGTCGTGCTCACGCAATATCGGTCTGCATTCATCGTCGTGTCTGACTCGATCGTGCGGGTTGTTCTCCAACGAACATCTCTTGTCTTCTGTTCTCGTGTTCGATTACTCGACGACTGTGTCATGACGTCCGCTTCCAACCGTCGAGTCAGACACGACGACGAGTTGGAGGACTGTGTCGCTGACGCGCGATGTTGCCCCGCTTTCATGCTCGTGTCCGATAAGGACGTGCAGGTCGTTCGCCTGCAACATGTGTCGTGCGTTGTTTGTCATGCCGGGCTCGACGATCGTGTCATGACGTCCGCTTCCTACCGTCGAGTTCGACATGACAGCGACACTGTGATCTGCTGTCCGCTGTTTTTCGTGTTCGACACAATAGTCATCGAACGGTGCGTGCGTCTTTCGGCGACCTCATGACGTGCGCTTCCGTCCGTCGAGTCGGACACGACAACGAGTTGAAGGGACATTGTGGCCGTCACGCTGTATTGCCCCGCTATTGTCCTCGTGTCCGACTCTGTTCGTCGAGTTCGACACGATGGTCGTCCAGTATCCCACTTTTGTTGTTGCATGTTCTTGTCTATTGTTGTTTTCGATTTCTATGGTATTTGCACATCGGCAAGGCAATGACTGCATTCGCACTTGTGCGTTTTCTTTCAGCTGCGACTAGTCGCTCGAGATGGATCGGGAGGGGAAGCCAAGCAAACGACGTGCTAGTAGAAGTTTCAGGAGCATGGAGCAATCTCTGAAAAAAAAAGAAGGGGACACCGACCGCTGGCGTGGGGACTGATGAGACACCAGGGTCTAAGGGCCAACGAACCCCGGTGATGCGGGGTGCGCCTTCTACGGGCACTCCTTCCACTCGTGTTCGCGGTTCTGGACCGGATGTGGCTGTGTTGATGAGTGGCGGGCCTGCGGGTCAGGAGGAGGTGACTGGTGGTCGGCAGGGGAAATCTGCAATAGACGTTGTGCCCAGGCGTAAAAGGTTTGGTGAAACGTCCGTAGCAGGTGTGGGAGACGAGGTGCCCGTCGTCGACCACAAAGACAAGTGTTAGATGTTGGACTGGGTGGGTGGAATCGGGGAACCCTCAAGTGGACTGGTTCTATACGTGGTGATCAAAGTTGTGCCGATTGGTGGTGTGGTGAAGTGGGGTGGACGAGGTTCACCGTTGGCCATGTTGGAGTTGACGATGGTCCTTAACGCGAAAGGTGAGTGGATGACAAATGTCAAATGCGTTGCTCTTCGTTGGGTCAAACACGCTGGGTACGGCAAGACGCTTTTTGATATTTTCAATCTGCCTGGGACGAGGAAATTGACGTTGCCGGACCTTCCATCGGTTTTCGCGTTCTTCGATAGTAATGTGGTCGCAAGGCAGGAGCCGGTGGCGCATCCTGACGACCGCATATCTGAGCCGGAAAGAGTGCTTTCGTCATCCTTGGAGGCGGCTCCCTCGTCGAGACCACTCACTATAGGTGTCCGTCGTCCACAATCCTTTCGAACTCTGGTTGCTGCAACGCGAGTTCCGAAATCTGGGCAGATCGGGGAGAAAGGTTCGTGTCGCGGCAAATCGTGTCGTCAGCCCCTGTGAAGTCCAGAACAACATCAACCAAGGAACCCTTTTCCTTGGTCCATCCACCATGTTATGACTTCGCCATTCCAAGCCGTGCTGAGGGGAGGCCACAATATTTTGGAGATGACGACGAGGAGAGCAGCGAGGAAGATTCGGAGCGCGATGAAGAACGCGAAGAATATGAGGAGGGTGGCGATGACAGAGGAGACAGAGGAGAGCGTGGGGAAGAACCGGAAGTAGAGAGTGAGGAGACAATCAGCGAGAGGGGTGGCGAATTAGAGGGTGGGCTAGGGATTGAGTATGAGGGTGAAGGGCAAGAAGAGGAAACGACCGGCGAGGGAGGGTATACAGATGTGCATCGGGATCAC